AGGACTACCAAGTACAGATGGAAAGTAAAAGTAAGTAACAGATAATGAATTAAGACTGATTAAGACTATGTTCGATATTGTATCGTATTGCGAGGAAAGCTGTGATTTACACCCCTAATATTTATAGTAAAATTTTAAGGAGAAATGTTGAATCTGGTTTTGTTTTTAAAGGCGATTGCTACCCATGCACTATGTACAGTCTCATTTGGAGGCATCTTCCCAAAAAATATTGGGATGATTTTATGTTATAAATGCACTCAGTATATCCATGAGAAATGAAATGACTTGAGTAATAATTCACATTTATATCTGAACACCCCACCTTTCCAGGACAGGGCAGAAATACAGGACAACACACAGCATCACACGAGTTGGCCTATTGCTTCCCACAGAGAAGTTAGAGATGATGTCAACAGTCGGAGCACCTCCACACCTAGGATTTTGGACACTGCCTTTCAACAGGTGACACAGTTTTAGTCTAAGTGGAATTGTTTTATGTCCAAGTTATTACAGGCATCATATCTTGAAATATGTCAGGACCTCTTCTGTTGCCAGGATACATCCCCCATGTATCTGGGTAACTTTCTTATCCTGCTTGATTCAATTTTGAGAATCTTCCCTAAACTGTGCTGTCAGCTGCCCAAGTAGGTCTAATCATTCACATGGCATATGCCACGTCACTGATTTATTCTTCTCCCATAACACTACAAGTAGTTGAGGTCTATCCTCCTGAGACCCCACCTATTCATTTATGTCCATTGTAGTGGACATTTTGTTTTTGCATTTATCTTTTCACTGATGTAAGGAAATATATTTATTCCTGTTGTACACTAAAGAGGACATGCTGTGAAATTAAAAATAAATATAAATTTGAAAAGATCTAAATTGTAAGATGTCTTATTTCCTCCAAAGACAAATAACCTACAATTGAAGGACACTTTTTTCCTTGGGTCTCAGGAGGCTAAAGCACTTTTAAGTTGTCTTATGATTTGGTGATTGGACTTGACAGAAAAGGAGTTAATTCATTCAATTGTTCATTGTCTTTCTCTTGTTAATCTGTAGAATACCAATTATGATGATGACATCAACACAGATGTTCACATGAGTAACACTTCGACCAATGAAGAGGAAGAACTCAACAATTCCAGCAGTGAAGATGAACTCAATAATGAGAACTCTTCCACAACCAGCCTGTTGGATATGGACATTCAAGAGGTACACTTGTAATAACAGTTTTAGCCTCATTGGCATGTTTTGTTTTGGGGTGGGGCAATACACTAGGCCAACTTTGTTATCATGTAATACTCTTCAGAGGGCTTCAGTGACACCCTCACCAAAGTGTCAACAGTGCACACGTTTTACAGTACATGTAGTGAGAGGTTTGCTGTAGTAGTTGAGAGCATTCATAAGACATAATGGACAATTTAGCTTAATTGTGGTACATTTTGACCTATCCTATAGCCCAGGGGTAGCCAATCTTACCCGCAAAGGGCCGGTGTGTATGCTGGTTTTTGGGATAACCAGTAGGTAAGCTGTTCAAACCCAGGTGTGAGGACTCTTCAGCCAATCAGTCCTCTAGTTAGTAATCTAATTAGGGAGTTGCTGCGAAAACCCGCATACTGTACACAGAGACCCTTTGCGGATAAGATTGGCTACTCCTAACCCATGTGTAGACGAGTGACAACATTGTCAGCAAAAAGCAAAAACTACAGCAAACCGCCTGCACAATTTCAATCATTGTTTTATTAACTACATCTTTCATTCTCTTTCCTTTGTTCGCATGTAGAATTATAATAAAGATAACCAAATCAACACAGGAGAACACTGGAGTAACACTTCCAACAGTGAATATGAAGATGATGAAATCAACACTGAGAACCCTACCACAAGCCAGTTGGATGTGGACATTTCAGAGGTAAATGCACCATTCTATGTGGTAGTATATATACGTTTTCTTTGTGTAAATGTTTACTCTTTTAATTAATTACTTCAAGTAATCTTTTTCCCTTGTCAACCTGTAGAATGAGGAAGCCCTGTCACATTCTGAAGAGGACTTGATTGATGCTGCCAGTAATGAAGGTGAAAACCATGCTGACGATGAAGACGTGATGGAGGGTAATAGTGCTAGAGAAAAGGCACCCGAATTTCCAGTGGTATGTAGACAGTGGTTCAATAACACATTGCTAGTAATAATAAAATTACTAATAATATAATTTGCTAATTGCTAATAATATAAAAAAGGCACATTTTGATGTCAGCATTATGGTTTGGGCCAACTAAACCATCCATGTTTACATTGCTGACACCATTTGTTAAAGAAGCTTCATTATTAGAGACTGAAGGTATTGACTGGCAAGACAGACAAGGACACGGTCATGTTTCCAAAGTGTTTGTGCTGATCTGTAGCTCTGATTCTGTGGCTCGTCCATTGCTTCGCAACACTAAACAGTTCAATGGTTTTTACGGCTGTGATTTTTGCTTGCACAGAGGTGGTAAATCGTATCCATACGAACAACCTGAACCCCCACTTAGAAATGAGAGGGATCATTTCAGTCATGCAATGTCAGGTACAACTGATGAGCCAGTGTATGGAGTCAAAGGGCCATCTCCTTTAATGCAACTTCAACACTTCCAAATGATAAATGGCTTCATTCCTGAATATCAACACAATGTGTGCCTTGGAGTCACTCGGCAACTCTACACTGTGGTTTGATACATCAAAGAGTGATTCCCCCTGGTACATGGGTAAAGAGATTGATGAAGTTGATAGGCGACTTGTAAAAATC